ATTTTTGTATTTTGAAGCATGCACTTGAAGAGCGCATGCCTCACTGCCTGTCCGCCGCCGCCGCCGCCGCCGCCTGCCCCTCCCTTCTCCTCCCCAGCCTGCCTACCAACTACCCAGCCATCAGCAACTTGAAACACAAAACCGCCGCTCAAAATCATTGAGCGAGTTGGCAACACTTGGCGCTCGACAAAGCTGCCACGTAGGGGTTAGAAAACGGCGACTATGAAAACACTTTCAAAGGTATTATGACTTTTTCGGCGAAATTTCAAACACTTCAGATACATGTAGGCAGCAGTCAAAGAGCACTGAAGGAAACTGTGACAAGTGTAATCGAAGTTATAAATAAATATTTGGCAGTAATTCTTGATCAAAAGTAAAATAAATTGAAAATGAAATTAAAATATGTGTGTGTATATCTCAGATAGATAGAATTTTAATTTTCGTTTGCTCATAATTGCCGCAGAATTTTCAGTGCTATTTTATAACATTTTTTAGTGTTATTTATTATTAAATCAACAAAGTTCTGGAATTTTTAAAGACTATAATGCCAATCTGTTGGAAACACTTACTAGTATGTTTAGTAAGTTGTTTTGTTTTCAAACTTTGTAAATCTTTTCTTTTTCAATAGATGGTATATGTGGCCTAAAAATTATCATCGAAGATTCGATTAAACAATAAAATCTGCATTGAAAATAATGGAACAATGCGACTAAAAGCTTTTCGAAAAAATGCATTTGCCGTTGATAGCTTTGCATTATATCGCGAAGGCTTGTACCGACATTCTAAATGCCATCCCGAGCTAAAACACTCCTTCGACATTTTCTTAGAGCGTGCAGATCATTATAAAAAGTTCGAAAGGTAGTCTCTTTTGTAGAAAATAAATTGAATATCTCAAAATTATTGTTTGTTTTTCTTATTTTTAAAAAGTGCTATTTACTTTTTTGTAATTTCTATATAACATTATTTTCGCTATATCTCTATTTTTGTTCACACTATTGGCAGAAAAGCTTCTAGGCAGTTGTTTCAAATTCTCGCCTTAACAAAATACCTTTTCCATTTTTGGTTTCTGAACTAATCCTCAAAATATAGCCATTGCTATTCGATAGCAATTTATCGCAGGATTGAGCTTAGGGTGTGTAGTGCGGTTTCTATTTCACGATTCGAACTAGCAACTGTTAAAATTAAGTCTGCAACATCTTTAGAAACTAACTATTGGCGTTGGGGTTAAAAAAGAAACACCGTCAACTATGAAAACACTTTAAAAGTAGTTTTTTTTTGGTCGAAATTTGAAACACTTCAAATATTTGTGTGGCAGTCAGAGAAGGGGAAATAAAATAAAAAATGTGTAAATAGAAATAGCAGTCGAAATGTAAAAACACAAACCAGCGTTTTCGGACAAGTTGACGCCAGAAATGTGGGCATGGGAAACTTAAAACTGATGCCGCAGCTGGCGAGGAAGCACTTAAAAGGCGCTACACTTGCCCCCTTTCAGTCCTCCCTCCCGAGGCTTCTGTTTACTTTTGCAATATTGACTCGTCGCCCCCAACCCTAACCCTAAGCCCAACCCCAGCCCCAGCCCCAGCCCAGGCACAGAAAGTGTGGCGAACGCGTGTCTAAACATGTGTTGGAGGTTTTTCTTGTTTTTTTTTTTTCCTTTTTAAACAACATTGTTGCTGTAGAGAATTTCCACATATGGCTTTCGAGAGTGTGTGTCAAGATTTTGTTAAAAAGTTTTATGCGAGCATGTTGGCGGCTTTGGCGTTGGCTTCGCCATCGTTTTCGTTTTCGTGGCTTCCAGCTGCAGGGCAATAAATGTCAGCCTCATGTCAGATGTGGGTCTGTGTGTGTGTATTTTGTTTGCAGCATCGCTATTGTATATTGACACCTATGCCTGATTTGAGCCGAAGTTGCTAAAAGTTGTCAGTCATGGCAGGATGTCTTGCGATTTATTGGGGTGCCAAGTGCAGATTGTGGATACCAGAGCTCAGGGGAGCGTGACATTTGAAGGGAAAGTTGCACATTAATTTTAATACAAATTTTCATTTATAATTCATATTGTCTATCAATTCATATTGATTGATCAACATAGATAGGGTTTAAGTAATATTCCAGTTGTCTTTCAAGTAAATCGTTTAAAGTTCTCCTTAATTGTTGAAGAAACACTAAGAAAGCAAATTAATGAGCTAATAGCTGGAAACAATCTATTATGAAATAGTTGAAGAAAGCGCTTTCGGAACAATTTTTGATTAAAATCTGCAAAGATGGCAGTTCCAACTACATACTATATATTTAAAAGTTGCATAGCTATGATCTAAGTTGTTCAATTACTAACAAACTATAACATTATAAGCTAGTTTCTAAATGTTCGCTGTTTGCTCGCTCACTTTTGATTTAAATTCAATAAGATTTGTACGATTTGTGGAAACCCTCTATTTGTTTATATGCTTTCTTTATTATGTTTTGCACTTTAAATTCGAAGTAACGGCAAAGCTGGAGTTAATTTGTATTAATGCGACCATCAAATTTTTTACGAACTAATCAACTTTATTATAATATAGTTAACATACACGAATATAAGTCTTGATATAAGTCATCATAGTTTTGATATAAGTCATCTGCTTGCCGTCGAAAAGATAATGATTTGAGAAAGATTAGCCCTGGCAATAACCTATCAAATCAAGCAACATCGAACGAAACAAACCTATTAAATATTTATTTATTTTATAGTGACTATTTACTTCTTCATTTCATGTACAAGTTTCAAACAAATGATTGCCATAGTTTGGTTTTTTCAGGCAAATATGTTGAGTAAAAGGAATCCATTGATTAATTGGCTTACAATTTATTATTAAAATAATAATTTGTCAGAATCGGCCCCCTTACCAGAAGTTATTTAACATAAATAATTGTGCGTTCACCTTTTATCGTTTTGTATTTGAAAAACTCAACCCTGCCTGTCGAATTTGCTTGCACATTCAATGTCAGTGAAAATTTGATTTTGATTTTGATTGAATTAAATAAGAAGAAGAGCATGAAGATGAAGAAGTGAGTTCTGCATGAGACACGTAAGTTCCCTTAGAGTGCAGGCTGTGATTGACACAACACGTGCACAAGTTTCCTTATACTTGTATATGTATATACAAAAATATATAGACACATATACTACGAGTATATGCAGATATGTACTACACACTTGTATATATGTATATGTATATGTGTGTCTGGGGGCTGAGGACTGTGAGGGACTGTGGAGCTTAAGTGGCAGGCGGGCTCTCAGCATTAGACAGTGAAGTGTTAGGCAGCGAGGCGAATGGGAACGAGCGGGCTTGGAGGACTTCTTCGTGCATATTAAGATGCGCTGGCTAACTTAATTTAACTAACTAAGTACGAGCCACGGCACTTGTGAACCCTTCCAATTGCCAGCTCTCAGCTCCCAGAACCCATTTGTTGAGTGTACGATATCCTCGCACACGAATATGTGTGTCTGTGTTAATGGCCTTAATAAAAAATGCAGCATTTTGAATTAATTGAATTGAAATTCACGCCACTCGAGCAACTCCATTAGGCAGAAACGTGTCCAATGGTTGACAAGAAATCAAATTACGAATTCCTGCATAATGACTAACGTTGCTGTGTACGTTGTGCGAGCACACAGGACGCAGGATACAGGACACAGGCCGCAGGACGCACGAATGCCGCTCAAATAAATATTGTCAAAACACTTGTCAAATCATTAAACAAAGCACAGGCCAAAATAAACAGGCCAGAGTGGATACAAATTTCGCATGTCCTCCACTATGTATATACATATATAAGTATGTTGTCGCCGTCGCACCGCCCCTCTCGGTAGTGGGCGTGCCCATTGACATACTACACAAAATTAAGCAACTTCAACGCTGCGGGGAGTAAGCGTGTTAGGTGGGGGGGGGGGGGCGGCGAGCATTTTAAGTGAAAGGGAAGGGAGTTGCTGGCCGAGTGAAAATCAATTTGATTCGATTTAAATTTAAAAGCGGCTGCCAAGCGTCTAAGCATACCACATGCATTTACACTGAGCGAAAAACAGCTAGAGTTCTTCGCAAATAGTGGAAAGTTCTTTGGAATAAAATCGAATCAAACTTATACCCCCACGTTTTAATGAAAGATCCAACTTTTCCATTCAATTCAACTTGGTTTTCATACTCTATGAATAAATACAAATTCAAATGCATTTATCAGTATTTGAATAATTGTTGTAGCTTTATTCGTAGTGATTTTGTTTTTGTATTGACTTGTTTAAAATAAATGCAAAAATATTGAAAACTACAATTGATGAGGAAGTAATAACAATTACAATTGACATAGTACTCCCCAAAATTTCAAATATAATTTATTTTAGATTTATAAACAATTGCTAACCTCCTTAGCATACATTAATACGTGAAGTTTATTCAAAACTCTACAAAATATGTATTGATTTAATTATAACACGTTGAATTATTCTGTTTATTTAACGAATGCTTTAAAACAATAGATGCAGAGTCTTCGTCAATATAACCTCCAGATGTTCGACTCGAGTTTGCTGAACAAATTGGTTCGGGGACCGGTGTCCACACTTTCCTTCATGGCTGAAAAATTCTTCAACCATATCAAATTTTCATCTGTTGTGGCCAAACTGGAATTCGTATTATCGGACAGTGTAGTTTCTGACCAGAAAGTCATATTTTGGTTATGTTTCCATTCAGATTGAAGAAAAATAAGAAAAGATTAGTTTTTTAAATAATGTGTAAAAATGCTTACAAAACAAAAATGAAATATCTAGCACGAGTTCCCACAAATTATTCACAGTGTAGTAAATGTCATATACACACACACACACATACATATGTATGTTTGCACTCACATAGTGTGGGTTTGAATTTTTTTTTGTGCCGATCTAGCGCGTGATTTTCATGTTAAGGTCACGTGCCGCTGCCGCCGCCGCCGACGACGTCGCTCCAACGCGTGCCACTGACATAAGTTTCAAGTTGCAGCCACTGAGATGCATGACCCGCCCAACATGAGGGTCTGCAGAGGAAGAGTCGCGCTCTACCTTTGGTCTATGGTCTATGACGTGCGTGCAGGTCTGCGTGTTAAATGTTTGATTTAGTTATCAGTTTAATTCTATTAGTGGAAAGTTGGACTTATCCCCAGCAACCGGAGCTATGGTAACCCTCATCTAGCTGCTTCAAAATTCAAGGTGATGTAATTTCTAAGCCAATAGATATATAGTATTGCTATTTCAAGAAACATGCAGTTGAAAAAGTTCCGGCTTAAGATCCCTTCCCAATTGGTCTCCCAGACATACCCAAAAAATTGAAAATTATGAAAGTATCACAAGTCCATTCATAAAACCAATGGTCGTCTTCAACCAACTGCGATTAAGTGTGAACTTTTTCTTAAGTGCTGTATTATAATGATTTCTCTATAATTGGATTAATAACGCTATTTATCGTAACGAATTTGTTTCTTTTTGCATTAAATTCGATATGTTCCGCTTGGCTTCTGATGTATTTTAGTCCACATCTCAGTATGACATTGATTGTGGTCCTCTGTTGGCAGTATTTGGCTTATTTATATCTGTTTCCGAAAGTGAAAAATATAACTTCCTCAAAAGACTGCCTGCAGTTGTATTTCAAGTTCCATTTTCCAAATTATAGCGCCATTCTGGAACATTTTTTCCGAGTGGACTGACTTTTAAGCGGCTTTCTGGGGGAATTCCTGAGTTTTGGACTATCGACAGGTTCTTAATCTCTCTTTCCGGCAACAGTCAGCTTAATTAGCCTTTTGTTAGCCACTTTTTCTGCTGATGTTGTCATAATATTATGAGTTATGACGTCTATTTTGGGGCCGTACAGGCCACTTATGATTGCACAGATGTTTCCAGCGCGTTCTAACGCACCAAAGCACAAATACAGTTGGAGTTCTTTTGTCAGATACTATGTTGGCTTATTCAAAACTTCCATCTAAACCAGTGGGAGAAAAACAATCATTTCTGAAGGTATATGTGCTATAAAAGCGGGTCGTTTACTCATCCACCTGCACTTAGTTTGTCGAATTGAGAATGATAGGTCTTCATATTTTAAAATCGTCTTTGCTGCTCACACTCGGTGTGTCTTTGGCTTTCGCTCAAACCGACTACTGTACGTCTAGTCTCTGCGGTAACTCCCAGCATATAGCATGCCAGAACACGGGCGTAAGTCCCAATCCAGTATTATAGGGGTACATACTTGTAGTATAATACTTATGCCATTTCTTCTTAGGCCTGGTTGGCGGCCTGTCCAAAGAGTCCGGCTCCCACAGCTGTTGTGATGACGTCAGCGCTGCAAACGGAAATCGTCAAAGGGCACAACTCGAGGCGCCAGACCTTGGCCGCCGGAGCGCTGCCCGGCTTCAGTTCAGCTGTCCGCATGGCTCCTGTTCGCTGGAATGCAGAGCTGGCCCGGTTGGCCGCCCTGAACGTCAGGCAATGCCAGATGAAGCACGACGCGTGCCGCAACACGCCCACCTTCAGGGCTAGTGGCCAGAATCTGGCCATGGTCGGCTATAGCGGTGCCATATCAAGTCGCTCGGACCAGGCGTTGGTCACTCAGTCGCTCACGATGTGGTGGGACGAGTATAAGATTACCACCAAGGCGCAGATAAACAGCTATCCCCAGAACTATAACGGGCCGTAAGTCTTCCACACTTGCGTGTAGCTTTTTAGCAGCTTTCTAGCATTATTCATACTCGCAGCGCCATTGGACACTTCACGGCCATGGCCCAGGAGAAGCAGACGCATGTGGGCTGCGCCGCAGCGCGTTACTTGAAGACTAGCATGAATTATTGGCTCTTCGCCTGCAACTATGCCACCACCAATTATGTGAACCAACCTGTCTATGCGGCGGGACCAACGGCCTCGAAGTGCAAGACAGGCACGCACGTCAACTTCCCAGCCCTCTGTAAAGTGGCGGAGGTTTATACTTAGTTGCGATTATTATTAGTAATAGAATTGAAATCATGGAAAATCTGTAAATAAAAGTCAAATGAGGCTTACGCAGACATCTGGTGGGTAGAGATTGGACGCGTAGAAAATAAAGTCTCTCACAACAATTAGCTGAAGCGCCTTCTAAACTTTAAATTGATTTGAAGCTGAAGCTTCTTTCGGTTTATTTAAAAGTTGGCTTGGAAACTTGATACTGTTCCGAAACAGTTTTTATAGAAATAAAACTATGCTTTAATAATTAATTAAATTAAATATTTAAATAATTCCCTCTGACAGATCGACAGTGCTATCTCTCTATTTGTATAAAACTCCCGGTCGGGTAATGCTACGAATCCATTCTTAAGCATTCAATGGAATCATCCATCAAACGATTATTTATTTATTTTTCTAGTTATTGTTTAAAACATGTCTCGGAATTGTTCTCGTGTTGTGGGAAATCCCTAAAAGAAGGGACTTTTGAAGAAATTTTGTTGTAATACTATTTTACACACTATTTTCGCTGCTTTTAAAGCGTTCATGAAATGTGTTTTCATTTCTAGTCTTGCTAGTCTGAAACACTATTTGTACTGTATTAACAAATATTTTAGCATTCGATTGAATACTTGTAATTAATATACACAAAGATTAAAACTATTAGTTTCTGGTTTTCATTTTGTTAGTTTACTTTTACGCAACACCTATTTATCTAAATTAAAACAAGTGTGTAGCCAATAAATTGTATTTTTGTACAACGGGAAGGAACTTTGTTGGGAATAATTAAGGAAAGTGCGTTAACACCACCTAAAAGGCAGTTGGAGCTCCGCATAGCAGGTGGCGACAACTTCAATGCGCCACTTAAGCAGCCATTTGCAGTTTGGTCGCAACGGGTGAGGTCTGTTGTCGCCTTTGTTGCACGGAGGAGTGGAGTGGAGTGGACTGCATTAAGATATACACATAAATACAGACACACATTTGCATAAAGGAGCAAGCGATTCATATGGGTGTGCGGGCGCTCTTGAGTGGCAATAAAACAAAGCAAATGTTGTGAGCGAAGGCGCCTGCTGCATAATGAGCGACGCTCTTGTTGTTGCCACAATTAAGATGAGCTAAAGAGCTGGCCATTAATTTGACAGGTAATTTCAATTAACCAACAGCACCAGCAACAGCAACAGCAAAAACAATAACAATAGCGACAAAAAAACGAGTCTCTTCTTGTAAAAAAGTAACTGACAATGGCAATGGGGAGTAATATTATGACTAAGTGCCGACGCCGACATGAAACAATGTAGGCGATATGTTGCATTAACTCGCAATTATTGTTTACTTCACTGGCTTCCTTTCTGTTTAAAATGCTATTCAAATTTGGCGCCCAAGTCGCGTAGCAGCGAGCTACACAGCCCATGCTACGCTCTCGCGTTAAGGCTATAACTTGCATAGTTATGGCGTTGCCAGCTGTGTAAATATTGTGTTTGTATGCTGGCATATTTTTGCAGATCTGGCCATACAGTGTGCTGTGCGACCCTGGTACGTTTAGTTCGTCTGTGTTTTTTTATGCGTGGAAACAACAAAATCAATTTTAAATGCTGAAAATGTAAATAAAATAACAAACAAATGCAATAAATAAATTAAATACGTTAGAGTGCTGTGCATGTGCATATTGTCGCTATCCGTGCAAACCATACAAAAGGCTAAAACAAAAACAAGAGCAATGTAGCACACTGAGAATTGATTAGAAATTCATATACGTAGCGTGAGCGTGACGGGTGGCAACAACAACAGCAACAACAATAACATAAATAATGCACAAAATGGTTAAAATATTCTTCAGGTAATTGGCATTAACAAACAAACACACACACACAACCAGACAAAGCGGCCAGCAGCACCAACAACGACAACAACAACAAGAGGCTGCGGCTGCCGTGTCTGCTCTTTGCTCTTTTATACTGCGTTTTTATTTTTATGAATGACGTAAGCGTGGCGACGGCACCGCTACAAAAAATAAAAACGACAAAAACAATGGCACTATGGTTGCGGTGCGCCCTGTTGTTGTTGCTGCTGGTGTTGTTATTGGTGGTGCCTTTGCCAAAAAAAAGTAAAGAGGGCCCACAAAAGCCAAAGTGCTGCCCTCATAGACCAACAGAGCGGATACGTGTGTGTGTGTGTGAGGCTTCTGAGAGCGCAAGCCACACATGCAACACAAAAACACAAAAAGCGTCGTTCGTTTTTTCTTGGAAAACGTGCTTGTTGGCGCTCTCTCCCTACAGAGAGCCAGTTTGGGGCCGCTCTCTTTGTAATTTTTACTATTATTTCTTTTTTTGGTCAATGACCTAAGCGCTCTCTTCACTGGCCGTTAGTTTTTTGCGCGAGTATGTGTGTGTGTGTGTGACTCAAATCTTTGCAACATTTCATTAAATTGTTAGAAAAAGTTTCGAAAAGTTGTTTATTATTGTTTATCATGCGAAAAGAAAAATAGAAAAAGCGTGCAAGGTTAATTTCGCTTGCCGTTAGTTTGCCGCTCTACACAAAAAAAAAATAGAGCGTGGAACCTTGATTTTTCGCACACATGTGAATTATTTCGTTTTCGTATTCGTTTTGTGGCACATTTCGGCAGCGAGCGGCTTTTTAAACAATGCAATAAAACAGACACCTTCAAGGCAACCAAAAACAATGCAAAATGTCTTAAATGTTTACTGAAAATTGACTTATTGGTCTCAATTTGAACCATTTTGGATTCGTTTACAAACTGATTTAGGAACGCCTCAAACTAAACATATTTCGGAAAGAGATTTCATGTACAGTTCATTGTTTTTAAAAATCAAAAGAAATTCAGTTCTTTCTTGCCATGAAATTTAAATACATATCCCATAAATTTGAAGAACATGCAAATTTGTTTGAACAAAAATAAAAATAGCTGCAACCTTTGAACTGGTGTAAACACATTTTGCAACTCTGGTAGAGAAGAATGACCTTTAAATAATGGTCTTGGACCGAAAGAGGCCTCTACACTATTACCTCGAGATGCGAATCATTTCTAATATCGGTATTTCAGCATTATTTATGACAAATATGATTAATATACAACAATTATTTTGAAATTATTGTTATTATGTTATATGTATATTGAATTAACAATATTAGACATTTAAACACACTTGATTAGTTATTAGAGAGACGTTTAATTGTAATTTAAGAAAGTATATCTTTCGGATACTCAAATGAAAATGAAATATTCAACATTCCACATCATTTTCTTCATCGTCCATGTAATATGATGGCATTTATACTTTTTTCAATACATAAACCGTATAAAATAAAACAGATACATATTAGGAATTTTGGAACCAATGTTTAATGTTCTTCAATTTCTCTAAGGGCTAGTTTCATAGTCAAGTCCTTTCACGATTCATTATCTGTGATATGAGTTGTAAAGGAATTAGTTATAGGGAACTCTGACAGCTTCTGCACGCTATCTAAACAATTAGGCTTTATGCGAAAAGCTCCATAAATCTGATTCAAGGTACTCCACAATATCCACAGAACCTAATGCTTTGACTCATCCACGCACTGGTTGTATTTCGACAATAAAAGCGAATAAACTTTGCACTTAAATGCGATAAACACGGAAACATGTAATGTTGATAAATTTTAGCAAAAATAAAATTTCATTAATAAACATAAACAGCGGACTGACAGTGACAGCGACGCAAAAAAAATTAAATAAATATTTTTGCAACCATATTAAAAACAAAAACAAAACGAAATTCCGCCAAGCGATTGTAAAAAGTGAAAAACAATTACGACGAAAACCACAGTTGCTGTCACATTTGTTTTTGTTTACGGATGCTTTGTGTAACAGAATCTAAAAGAGCGCCAAATCGAAAGAGAGCGGGAGAGCGAAAGAAAGCCATAAAGGTAGAGTGCGTTCAGTGTGTGGGCGTTTTATGGCTCTCCAGTGGCTGTGCTTTCCATTTTCTTTATACGGCAGTACCAGCCAAGCGTTGCAAATGTAAACAAGCAGAGCTGTAGGAACTGGCATAAATAAATAAATAAACTTAAATAAATATAAGTATAATTACACGCAATATGAGCTTAAAGTAGCACAGAAAAGCAAATGCTTCTTAGTTCAAGAAAAAAAGTAAAATAATTTTAATTAAAAGTAAACAAATAAGAAACTTTAATGTTAATATACAAATATTTAGCAAAAGAAATTCATGTTGTGCTGTAATAATAAATCGAGTTGTTGAATTCTTTGAATATATTTAAACATATTAACCGCAAATAATTAAAAACATAAAATCGTTCAACAAAAAGCTATAGTTATGTAGGACTTTTTCTTATTATGAGTTACATTAAATCAAATTTTACCACAAAGTATAAATATACTAACTACTTTTAATTTCATTTAACTAATGAATCCAAATCATTTTTATTTCAAACGAATGCAGGCTTGATTACGTCTCTTTTTTCAACTTTTTGAAAAATAAATGGTGGACAAAAATTAAACCTCAAATGAAGCTTTCGAATTAAACAATTTGTAAAAATTATGCTATATATTAAGCATTTGTTTGAAATCGTTTCAGATCATAACGATTTGTCGTTCAGATGATATTTGTTTTTATAGCTATCATACGTTTAATATTTACAGACATGTCCGAAAATTTGTTTGTTTCAATTTCTGTTCCATTTAAAGATAAGACAAAGAATACATTAAGAATTCAGAACTGTGCTCACGGCTATGTATATTAAAATCAAGATTCAAAATTATTAAAATATGTACATTTAACAAAACAAATTAGTGCACAAAATTTGAGTAATTCAAAGCGAAACGGAAACAAAATGCAATAATAAGAAGCAGTATGAAAGAAGAATGTTGCCATAAAACTGAAGGTCGTATTTGTTTGCGAACGCACGCACACGCGCATAAGTGTTCTGGCTTTAAACAAATATCGCGCATACGCCGCGTATGCAAATACATTTTATGGTCGAACGTATTTATTTTTGCCTTTTATGTCGCCCCACAGATTTTTATGTATATTTATGCATATATGTGTGTGTGTGTGTTGCTTTTATCTACGACACATTTTTGCGCTTATCTATTGTATATACATATATAGTACATATATATGTATAATAAGTATATATGTACCTAAATTTGATTGAACTGTTGTCGCCTAAAATAATTGTCCAATGCTTATCAGCAGAGCAAAAATAACAAACATACGTGTATTATATGTGTATGTATGTGTGCTATTAAGACACACACACAGACGCACACTCAATTTGTCAATCAACTGACAATCAGTTGCCAATCAACTCATGTAGACTCTGAGAGAGCCGCCCAATGTCGTCTATATATGTTTTATTATCACGAACAGTTTATGGTAGATCTGTTCGGTTTTAAAATATTATAAGCTACAGACTATCTGTCGATTTGATGGCTCGTTTAGAAATTAAAGCGACCGTATAAATATGACGAATAGAAATTATTTGCAAAAGCAATTAATTTAAGCATAGCTGATTAAAATCTTTAACAATGTAAGTTCTTTTAATGCCAAACACTTTTGCTTTGTTTATTTTGTGAACTATTTGCATACCGATTGGCTTTATTTACTTTATTTTCTCAGCTGAGCTGGCTAATTGTTCTGAGTCACATTTAAGCCGAATTGGCCTCAGATCGTCGCTCCTATGAAATAATTCTAAGCTCTTCTTCAACCCATTCAGTGTCGTCTCCTATCGATGAGGCTTGCCTCATCTCTGTTCTGTTCAAAACATAAATCACTCGAAAAGAATTCACGTATAAGCCATAAAATAAAATTGAGGCTTTTAATTAGTCGCCAACCAAAACTATAAAGCATATGCAATGCGTCAGTTCAAAAGTCCGCAATTACTAGATCATTAGGGAGCTCACGAAGAATTGTTGTAGTTACATAGGAGCACTGAACCATTATAGACTGTCCTTATTCATATGCAAAGCAAGCAAATCAGATATAGGCTTATTTATGAACTTCTTGAATACTCTTATGCCGTACCTACATGAATTGTAATTTAACTGAATTTAAACAAATTTAAAGGCAAGACACTACCTTTCCAAGTACGAAACCAGTTTAGATTCTACACATAATTCCGCCAAACAAATATGAATACAATTCTCATATTTAACATTCAAGGGTACTGCAAAATGATGGAAAAATGCATCATGGTTTACAAGAAGAACTCAAATTGTCTTTTTATCCAGTTGAGTAAAGCCAATGATGCCATTCTCAAGTCTCTAGCTCGCTTTGCATAGTTTGTTATTAATTATCCGCATTTATCCGAGGCCACAAATCATAATGTTTAGGCCACACCATACACACTTTTAATAATTGCTTAGCAATTTTTAGTCATTTCGATAGCTAGATAGACAGATAAATAACGACAATATCTGGCAAAGCCCACACAAATGGCATCATCGTCGAAATGCTCATAAAAGGCGCGCACATGTCAACATCAAGTGTGCATATTTTTGGCCAAAATACAGGCAACTACTATATAAGAAGATATATGGTATGAGGTATTAAAATTGTGCGCAAATCCATTTGAGTTTTCGCTAGAGAAACAAGTGCCAAGAGCGAACCCTGACACACATTATGCCACACAACAATTTGTTAGTAACGCCCTCTTTTCTGTAGTCAAACCGTTTTTTATATTTCTTTAAACATTTGAAAAAATATGTTGCTGCTTTTTATTCATTTTTGTTTTCTTCATCATGCCATTCACCTACACGCGCGCATAATCTCATTTCGAGTAACGCCAATAAATTTAGGATTCGAAACAGAAAACAGACAACTATGTATGTACGTATACATATATCCGTCATATATAGGTTGTCTGTCCCAATATGTATGTACTATATATTCGGCATGTCGTCTTTAATGTGGGCACACAGAAGCAATAACAACAACAATAGGAACACCTACAAACAGCTGTTGAGAATCACACGAAACAATCGCTAAAACGTTTGTGGCTCTACATAAGTACTATGTGTGTTCTACTATAATGTCATTGTCAGTGACTGGTTTTGCATATTCTGTCTATTAAAGAACCAGCTGTGCTAAGCACTCGATGTATACACGCCCCTATTTCTTGGCCTTATCAACAACTCACCTTATCGGCTTGACCGTTAGTCATTTGAAATGACTTTAATCGAACCCAACATTTCACGAACATGAGTAACCCATTAGTTCCGATATACATATTTAGCTACCAATAGGGAGTATGCAGGTCGCTTACTCATGCGTATTTCCTATCCAAGACATGATATAACACTAAGATATGTTGCAGAATTTTTTTATTTCAATGACTTTCTTTGCATTTGAAGTCGAAGAAAGCACCACAATTCGTTGTTTGTCGCACACAAAAAGAGAAAGCTCTGCACAGTGGGCTGCAATTGTCTAAACTTGCGGCGAATAGCCAAGAAATATGATTATTTTAAAGGATCTCCTGAATAACGGATTATTTCGAAACAGTTCAAAACATTCACACATTATTAATCAGGGTGTAGTCAGGCAGCTACGGTTTGCCCGTCCCCTCATTCATCTGAGAATTACAACAGCTACAGTTTCCCCATTTCATATATTTCTTATGACTTTAGTTCGATGCAATCTTTCCGCGTTGAAAAGATAGAAGTATTGAATGAAATTTTAATTTTTTAATTAATAATTTAATAATTTTATTTTTTCAACAGTTTTTTAGAGAGATTGTATTATTCTCCATCGAACCAATTTTTTTGATCAGTATTCGTTATCTAAATTCTTAAATCTTATTTCAATCGTTTCTGTAATGATTTTATACAAATTTATATTAGATATTCTGTAGAGTTTTATGCTTCATGTGATTCACAAGTTTCTAGGAGTTATGGAAGTAACTTCCTACATCTAAGCAACGTATTCCTATATAATAGACAGTGTTTTTAAATTGTTAACCAGAAAATAAGTTGAGTTATTTATAATCGAAATACATAAGTTTCAATCGCCTGTTTTGTTTTCACATTTTAATTTCATAAATCAAACGAAATCCCCTTTTTTTGTAAGTTTCTTCTATTATTTTTTTCCATTGTGCTCTACATGCCGTGTGAATTGTTTGTATAAGACTCATTTTTTCGATATTTCAACAATCAGAGAAGCCCACGCGTCTTCAAGACATTTCAAAAGCAGCCAGCCAGCCAGCGGCCAAAAAGTTTGATTGAATGTTTGTTTTGAGGCACGGCGACGACGACGACGACAACAACAACAAAAACACTGTGAAAATGGCACATTGTGCGCGAACTAAGAGCTGGCGTCTCTTTGTTCTCTCTTAGTCCAATTGTGCGCTCTCATCCTCTCTTGCGGCCTCGTTCGGGCAAGCGCTGATCATCGCACCCGACCCGATTGGGCGCTTCGAATACTTCTGCGCGCTGCGCTTTGCCTCGCATTTCATTCGGCTGCGTTGGGTCGGCGCGTTCACAACGTTGCGTATACGCCGTGTGTGCTTCTCATTTGGCTGCGCTTCGCCTGCGAGCAACTTCCGTTCGTTGTTGTGGTTATAAAATCATTTCTAAATTTATAAAACAGCATATAAAATAGTGTGTACACGCGCATACTTAGGTATATAGTACATATTTATAAAAACGTTTGTGTTTTTTGTTGTCCGCACGTACTCGCGCGCCTCCTAACTTGAATTAAAAAATTGTTTGTTGCGCACGAAAAGCATATTTACATTCAAATATTTATTGGACAACAGCAACAACAACAACAACAACAAACACGCCAAATACCCACACAGTTAAAAGTGACTTCCAAAGTACGCAATTTGTGTATATAGACGATGAACATCTTATATACCCCCATAAATATTTAGTCAAGAATTTAAAAATATTGCGTTGCATTTTTTTGTCGCTTTTTAAAAACAAAAACATTGTTTATTCTTTAGTTGAAAGTGAAAGCAGCGTCTATGAGATGTTGTTGCCGGCACGTTTAAAATATATTTTAAGAAAATAAAATGGATAAAACGCAAGACAAGTTATGCTAATCATACACACGGATCATAAGACATAGCAGATGCAAAAGAAATAAATTCAGTAACGTAACGGCATTAAATTGAAAGCAAAATGCGGGCCAAAAGTTTTTAAACTTTTGCCCAACTAAGACCCACACGGATAAATACGGATCGTACTGGATAATAACGGATAGAAATTGTTAATTTATTAATTGATGAGTTTCGATGAGAAACAATTGTGCTGCTTACAACAAAGTCGCTAAAATGCGTCTCCAACAACGGTATAGCAGCCCGGCAACACAAACGATTGGCAACAACAGCAGCAGCAACAACAACTCTAGCAGCAGTCGTAATAATAAAACTAACAATCAGCGTGCGAAGAAGCTGAGCCACAACAATAACAACAACAACACCCTTGCTAACGGCAACAACAAATTGCGTGCAACAAAAAACGACAACAACGCCACAATGCGAACCACATTGGTAGTAAATACACCATTCAACAACCATCCCATGTCGGTGGAAGACTTACCCGTGCAGGAGGAGACGACGACGGAAGTCGAGCTTCGCACCACAGCCTCCTCGCATTTCCGGCTTTTCAACACCCTGCGCAGTAGTTCGACTTCGGCCATGCTGGTCGATCCCGGACTTTCGAATATGTTGTGTACCAGACCCCGCACCTTAAACGTTAACAACTTCTGGCAGACGCCGCCACACACAACAGAAATATTCATTAGGTATGTTCTGCTCCAATTCCTTCTTGGCTTTCTTTGGTTGCGGTTGCTAACACAAATTCATGGTAACTGGGATTACTAACAACTAACTCTGGTTTTCAAATCTACAGAGATACAGGTACTACGAAGCTATAACAGTTTATATGCAAAAGTATAGTTATTATTGCCTTCCCCTATATATTTTTCCCATTTTACAATAAAAATAATATTGTAAAATATATTCTTTTCCGTACATGCACCATTGCTAAAAATTCATGAGAATAATTATGGGTCTCTTTGGGGGCACTTATAATGATAATTTTACGCCCCCAATAGCTGTTGATAATTGTGTCAAAATTTAAATATTTCCTTTTTACAATAATAGTCAATTTTGCAAAATAATTCATTTCGAATAGCTGAAGGCCTTGGAGCTAGCGCTATATCATCTAAGTTAGTTTAGTTGTGTAAACTTCTCTATATTTTATAATAATAATTCATTTCGAAGCAAGATCAAATGTTCAGATCAAATTCAAGTTATTTAACTTTTTTTTTCAATTATGGGTTACAGAAATGTTCTATCAACCAGTAGCCTCAGGACTTATTTACAAAAATATTCAAGATATAAGCCTCAAGAAGACAATCAACTAACAAAAGATAAATCGTCTATTTGCAGTACTGAAAACATCAAAAAACGAGCACAAATATTTATAAACAAATACCTATCTTTCTCCGAAATTACCATGTTCGTTAGAATCGTGCGAGTTTAAATACAATCTCAGCTAAGTGCTTAAAATCTATTTGATAATACTCCAAGATAATCCAATATTAGGTCAGCAATCGTTTAGCACCCAGTTGTGACTTCAGACTTTAAATAATAAAATGCGAAATGAGCGGCTATTGAAATATAACACTTGGTGTAATGTAAGTTAAGATCCAAGCAAATATTACGTCTTACAGATATTAAACATTATATTATATCTGTAATCTAAAATATACATCTGACGACATTATAAAATTAAAGCAATAGAAGAATTTCCCTATACAAGTATATAGCTCCTGTTTTAGACGTACTATAGATCTTGAGGAAATTTCTGTTCTCAGCAACCGAGGAGATGACACACCTCTATTTCCTTGCTAAAATATAATTTATATAAATCTACAGCCTCTATAAAATGACAGAACTTGATTTCCTGCCTAAGAAATAGTTATTTAGGATATATCTTCTTCTTTGTATGAAATCAATATTGTTGCAAATCATTGACCGGAGACAAGGAAGCTTGAAAGAATCATTTATAATCAATTATCATTCAGTAAATCAAAAAGATTCGAATTGAATTGTTCGTTCCTATCTTGCAAAATAAATTGTTGACGTCTTCAGAGTTATATTGATTGTTATCATCATGTTTGTTATTTATGACATAATAAACTGTCTTTATGTTTTCACGCCTATAAATGGAAAATATTAACAGCTTATCGGCTGTTCTCCACATGAGTCAGCATACGAGGCTTCCTTGTTTGCTTCTTCCTTAATAAACTTAAGCTGGAACTTCTTTCCACTGTTATAAAACAATTAATTCCTTTTATCCGCTATAATAACAATTACGCTTATAATCTAGATGGTTGTCTGCAAGAAATAATCAGCTGGAAGTGTTGCTTAGAGTCCTTGATTATTTTATCTTACTCTACAAATGTATCTTTGTACTCAAATATGGGCGCAATTTTGTTTATCCTACACAGCTATCGTATTTGACAATCCTAAGCGACTTCAGGAAATTATTTATAACGGTCATCCGGTTTTATCCGCTAATGCCAAATGTCATAAAAAGCTGACTAATTGCATATTCCCATTACGCCATCAGTTGAACAGAATAAGAAATCATGCCAATTTGAAAACTTCACTTTTCTTTTTATCCATTTGGATAAAAGTTGATTGCATTGTAGCATCCATTGAAGCGTATTATATTCATGTTCATGAATGAAATCAGCATTATTTTATAAAGGGCTGTTGATTGAATCTGCAGTATCTCGACCATAGTCCGCCGGCCTGCTATAGTCTAATTATCTGCGAAACGCCTCGCCTGCTCCTCTGCTCAAAATTCTCAATGTGTTTGGCTTTCTTTGTGCGCGTTTCGTTGCACAAAAAATAATAATAATAAAAATAAAAAGAAAGAAAAGAAAAGAAATACAACGGCGGATTTTGTCATCGTTATTTTAAAATTTATACATACATTTGCGTTTTCTTCATTTTATTTTCTTTGCTCAAAACAGACACTAAATATACATATTCAATTAAATGGCAAGGCGTTCTCAGAGTGCAAAGACATTTTACTGATCTATATACATATACTATATATGTAATATACAGTATATATATGACGATGTGAGCTAGTGTGAAAATTCAATGAACTTGATCTTTCTGGCATTTTGCAAAGCAACGCGCGTGCATTGCATATTTTTCCTCAACAACCAAGCGACCAACACAAATGTAATAAAATAAATTGGATTTAAATTTAAAATAATAACAAAGCATTAACATGTCAAGCTTGTAAGCAGACAAGCTGCCGTTCGTGTATTGTTGTTATTGCAATTGTTGTTATTTATCTCAATTTGCGTTTAATAAAGTCATAAATAAGGCAACGAATTGTCACATTTATTGATGCCTGCTGGGCTCACGATTTCGCAGCAGAAATTGTGGAAAAGAAACGAAAGACTTCAATTAATCAAGAATCTAAATAAACGTTGTCTCTCTTCGTCTTTCGCATGAGAAACCTAATTTTAGAGCTGGCTCCAATCAATTTTTTTGTGGCGCTGTGATTTTGTTGAACAAGTTAGAGATGTACATCGTAATGGATAGATGTTTTTGTTTATTTTTGTAAACACTATTTATTTGTGTTTTATTTGTTAATTTTCAATCAGCAGCGATAAAATTTGTAGCTTAGTAGAAGAAAGAAAGGAATGCAACGAAAATATAGACATTCATTTATCAATTAGCTTTCTAGCCTTAGTGTTAAAATTTGCATTAATTGATTGCTTTTTATACTAATTGTTATTGAAAATACAAATTGTACTTGCAGTTAATAATATGTAAAACAATAATAAATAATCTTCACGTTTTCAATTATCATAGTTTTGGTTCAATTAAAATTCAAAATTTAAAGAAAAGTAAGTCGTGTGTTAAATGAAATTTTCAATTAATTAAATTTTAGTGGAAGCTCTGAAGAGCGTTTCTAAATGTAAATACATTCCTTTACAGGAAGTCAGCTCCCTGATTTCTTTATAATTAACAAAACAGCTGTACTTGTAGGAAACATACATAATTATTATTACGATCTTATCCTAATAGCGTTTTGTTCAGCAGCGATGCTCCTCGATATTCCTCTCTGTTTGTAATTGAACTCCAGATACTACTACAACTATCATAGCTTTGTGCAGAATTTCTTGGTATGAACAAACCCCTCACGTGTCCAGCATCATCTCTGCATCGAACTCCCATCACTACTACAGTTTTTTTTGAACTCACTCACTCACGTGTTCATTCATTGTATAAGATGTTTGTTTTCAGGGCACACTCGAGTTGCATTTGCAGCTGGGAGCCCCGTTTGCTAATTGTTTAGCTTTTTGTAGGAATTGATATTGCATTGCGTCAGCAGTTTTTGGTGTGTGTAATAAAAGTGTTGCCCAAACGCTCAATAAAAAGGCAACTAATTTAACCTCATAAATCACAGCACTTTGGCATAAATGTTACTCACACACACACACACACACACACACACACACACACACATTCGCGATTTTAAATTAAAAGGGTTGTGCGTGTGTGTGAGTTTGCTTTTTAATGTCGCCTTAATTCAATTGTGCACTTGTCTGCGTCGTCATCAGCAGCAGCAGAATCGCAGTCTCTTCGCGTCGTCTCATTTCATTCATGCATCAATAAATCAAGCATTGACCGCGTCCGGCGGCCACTGCCTTGTCACAATTCGCCATTTCCTTTATATGTTTATCAAAGGCAATTCAATTAAACAAAATGCCGCATTCTTTGTCAATTGTTTTTTTATGGTTCCTTTTACTACACACACATTGTTGTTGGAGTGCATTTATCTTTTTATTTAGTTTATAACTACTAGTAAATGGAATCATATTTTATTTTGCGTCGTTCTATTATGCTTTATTTTTAACTCGATTATGACACAATACAATGGCCCACAAGCAGTGACCGCAATGAAAACAATTCCACAAACGATCTCCAATTAATTTAATTAAATACTAAAGGCTGTCTTGGCAGGCACTTAACGTGTTGGGTTAGTAATTAAGTATTTCTGTTTCTGTCTAAAGGCAGTAAATTCAAAAGTCTAAGACTGCACTCTTACTCATTGCGAATAAAAAACTAAGTTAAGCATATCTGTTAAAGTTTATTTCGATTTCTTAGAAACCTTACTTAATGGTAATTTGTTTTTATTTAAAGTCACAAAAGTGTGCCGAACTACTGCATCTAGGATGTCAATTCCTATTAGGATGGTTAAAGATATAAGAAAATCAATTTCTATAACTTTGGCAACACTTTATATATAATTAGCGGCTTTGCTGATAAAACGGATAATTAAACCAAATTAATTTCATAGGCTGTTTAGTTGCTTAGTTCAACAAATAATAGCTTCTTAAGTATTATTTACAACCAATAGCTATGCAGATAAAACCAAGAGCTCAACCAAACACAATTTTAAGCGTGTTTAGTTTCGAAAAAGAAGAAATAATTACATTACGTGGATTAAGTGGATAAGCAAAACTTAAATAAATTCAATCGCTTCAAATGAAGCTGGGATTTGTATAACTTTTCATTTTTCTTTCGATGTACATTTCTCTATACCTAATGTTAATCACGAGGAATGTAACCTTCATTAGGCAAAACCCTAGAATTGCTTTTAAAAGTAACGTCATCGCTTTTTATAGAAAAAGTTGTTTTATCCGTTGATACTCGTACTTATCCGCTCAATACTTTTACTCGAAATCAATTAGGCAAATTCAAA